TTTCCAATCGATACGCAGCAGCTCATACCTCGCTTTTTACTGCACAATATGGACTTAAAATGCTGTGTTCGATAAAGCTGGTGGATATCACACTGAAGATATGAGACGTACTGAAGTACTATTAAAATAGTGCGCCTCTGACTGTAGCACTTTTTGCAGTGTAAATAGAAATCTGACTAACTTCACCTTTAAGCAAAAAGCAAAAAAGATACAAAGCTACAAAAGCATCATTCACTATTCTGCAAAAGGACAGAGTGCTACAAGTACACAAAGCTGAATGGCTGCTAATGATGCCCCCGTGAGGAGAATTTGAATTTGTAGCCTGCAAAACATGAGCTCCATGAGGTGGTCCGATCTAAAAGCTGTCAAGATCCCCCGAACAGCTTTTTCTATTTGCGTTTGCAGTTGGACTACAAAGACAAAAGGTTATTTTAGGCAATGATATGCTTACAGCTTTGTGGCAACAGTTTAGGGAAGGCACACTTCTGTTCCAGCATGACTGTGCCCCTGTACACAAAGTGAGATCCATAAAGACAAGGTTTGATGAGTTTGGTTGGGAGGAACTCCAGTGGCCTGCACAGAGGCCTGACTTTAACCCCACTCTTTTGACTGAATGGGTATCTAGCTAATAACACATCATTCTAGATTGTATGAGTTCCTGTGGAATGCAAAAACAAAAAAATGCATATTTAAGTCCTTAAAAAGCTCCTTATGGTGATGGTTTGTTGTGACATAGTCATTACCGCTTCACATGCTTTACCATACAGTCTGTGCATTTTACACAGTAAGAGCCTCGTGTTATGCAGTTTTAGAAGCTCATAATTCAGGATAGAGTCATTTTTGAGCTGTGCAGGGCGGGTATTTCATACCTGGCCATTTCGCTGAATGATTAAGTTACTTCTGCTCCACGCAGGAGAGAATAAGCAGCGTAGGGAAGCGCTCGTTAGGCTTCTGACAACACAAAGTTTCGTTAAGGTATTTTGATGCATTCTGTCAGCACTTCACATTGTGTTTATGGCAGAAACTCATATAACAATAAAAATAAAAATATGATTTATCACGCGGCCCTACTTTTCACTACAGAGCGCAAACTAAAACGTCTGCCGTGAAATGACACCGCAAACACACAAACAGACACGCTCACGCACTCAGGCCTTTATGGGGCAAAAAGTATCGATCTGCAGGGGGGAAGTGATACTCCAATAAGTGTTTTTGCACCTTCCAATGTACTGCAGATACCAGGGGAAGAGCCAATATATTACAGTGCAAAGCTCTGAAGACAGAGTGTGAAGTTGCCCAGAGGGAGTATCGATTACGTTCATGCTGGGCAAGTCCTGTTTCAGCCCATATCCAACGCAAACATTAACTTCATGACGGCGCTCCATGATCTTCCACTAAACATCACCTGCTAACAGAGCCTCTATTGACTCCCAAATCGCATGGAGAATTGATTAGCCACTGCATTAACAGGCGAGTATTGATTTAATGTAAAGTTCGTCTGTTTCGCTGATACAGCAAACTCCAGGCTTGTCACAGGCTGCAGCCTGCAGCGAGCATCGATTAGAAATAAACGTAGACTTGTATCAATTATAAATAAAATAGGCAAGCTCCCTCTCACACAACCGCACAGCCCAGTGAACCCAGCAGCTGCTAATCCAACAGCCAAGGGCACAAGCTCTTAGGGATGAATGATGGAAGCCATTATGGACAACACGCTGAAGGTGGGGCAGAGCGGCTCGTCTGTTCAGGCGTTCATTTGTTTGGCCCGTCACCTCCTCAACCCTGGCCGTGCCAGACGAGCCGGCCGGACTGGCAGCCGTGACCGGCGCCAGTCATTCATTCCTGATGGACCGAAGCACGCCACGCCCCCTGGCCGCCCCCCACCCCTGACACCAGTGCCAATCACAAAGAGCTATAGCTGCTGACTGGAGCATGTTGCTGTTCTCTGAATGGCTGATGGTGTGGCACACCACACAACACATCGTTTGTTCATACTGACATCAGACCAACATCTCAACATGCAAATGAGCCCTTAAATAACTCACAAAACATTGGTCACACTTTATTTGGTCCCCTATAAATGATCTACAGATACTTAACTCATTAACAACATTTCTGGTGACAGCTGATTATCAACAGCATTATGGTTAGGTGTTAAGACGTAGGTGTAGGTTTTGCCTTGAGGTTTGGGTTAGAGATAGATTTGATAGAATCTTCCACTCTCAACTTCAAGTTCAGTTGCATTTAATAAACATTTAGTTGAATATTACTTAAAGACATACTGAGCATCTACAAAGCATCTACAGTGGACCATCCAAATAAAGTTACTCAAACATTTTCACTGTGTGCTCTGATCAATCTGAACAAAGTCAGATGTTGCAAAAGAGCTTCTGTGAGTGTTTTGATGCAGCTACGAATTCATATGAACCAAAAGCCAAGTAGATCATTCCCAGATCATTAGGAACAGGTCAGTTAGTCCTACCGAAGGTAAAGACTTAACATGTAGAAGCAGTACGCTGCTCTTAAATAGATCCAGCTGACAGAGAGCATTAGAAGACCCCCAACACTGGACACTTTGAATCCAGGCTCAAAACATTCCTATCGGAGCAGCTTTCAGCTCAGTTTAAACACTGTTAGTGTTTCTAGCCCCTTTTCCTCTGTAGCGACAATTTATTATCCTAATCTAGCTTTTAATTTCTTAATGTGATTTTTAATTTAATGATTTTCTCTTTTAAATCTAGTGACCATGCTTTAATCATGTTTTTAATTTCTATTCTCCTTTAAGTTACATTTATTTTAAAACAACTGTGTATTTTCTCATTTATAAAGCACTTTGAATGAATGAGTGTATAAAAGGTGCTATATAAATAAACCTGCCTTGCCTTGAACCAAAAAACAACTAATGCAATTTTGCAACTAATGCAGGCCCATGTTTAATCTTCATATTTCAAGCTGTTTTTAAAGAAATGGTTTATCAAAAAATTAAGTTTACACCATTTCCAACTCTAATGTCTGACGTCCAAATTTTGCCCCTTTAGCTTAGCGGTGGAGCTATGAGGCTGATGTTGCTAACAAACTCTAGAAGTCAATAGTCACCCAAATCTTTTACATAAATCTGCTCAAACTGCATCCAGGTCTTCATTAATGTGGTGCAGGGTTGTCGATGTGGTTTGGGACACAGTATGCATTAATATGACCTCTAAAAATGAACTCTGTTTAGCTGAACGCTGCTTTAGACAACAGGAGTGTTGAGCCAGGAGTGTCTCCCCTTCGTGCGTACACATCGTGCAGATATACGGTACAGATTACGCTCGCGATTTCTGTTATTTCCTTTCATAAACTGCTGTTTTCTCTTGGATTTTAATCTGAAGATACGTGCTTATAAACAGAAACATAAAAATCTTGAACGTAATCTAGCATCTGTGCCTGCATGATGAGTGTGCACATGTAGGGGAGTCTGATTCTGCCAGAATCCAGCACAACACTTTTCTAAAACACACGCCTGTAGCGCTCAGCTACGTGGTGAAGTTCTGTCCAAGTTTATAGTCCACAGGAAGTCATACTGTTGCTCTAAACCACATCAACAAGTCTGTACGATCTTAATGAAGACCTGGATGTGAGGTTGAGAGAAGTTTTGGGGACGTATTTACAGAAAAGGTTTGGGTGACTATTGACTTTTAGTGTTAGCAATGTTAGCCTCGTAGCTCCAGTGCTAAGCTAAAGAAGAAGCAAAATTTGGACACTAAACATGCCTTGGCTGAAAAACTACATCTAGGATAAGTTGAAAATCGTGTAAATTTGATAACTGTTTTGTTCTGCTCTTTCTTTTTTGCCATTTTTTAAATACTGTACACCTCTGTTGTGTTTTGCTTTCCTTTCCATCCTACCTCTTGGTTTGTTTTCTTTGTGATACTCCTGTGTTTAATAGTTGGCTTCTCTGCTGGCCTGTTTTTTTGATGCTCTGTAAAACGACCTTGAGATTTGGAAATGCATTATATAAACACAACACATTATTATCGCTATTTTTATCATCATTATTATAAATTAGATTTTTCTGCCAAACCATTACTTTAATATCTGCCATATAACGTTTTTGTGTAGCAGCATAAATCACAGTATGATATTTTGTCCATATTTTGCAGCCATAACATATGAATAATTCATCTGAGCTGTCAATGATGGACTGAATAGAGCCCCAAAGTTTATTACTGTGACTCAGCAAGTTTATTACTTCTTACTCATCTGGCTGAAAAACATTCTGATATAGGCAATGACATGAAGGCCAATCATGTTTTTTATGGTACACTCAAACTAAGTCATCACAGAAAATGAGGGCAATCCTTAGTCTGTGTCACAGTGTTGTTGTGAATGTAGAGGAGTAATATCTGCACTCCTCTCTCAGAGTTTCCTTCCCTTTCTAATTTGGCTCCTTTAAAGCAGCCTGCATTTTTGTTAAATACACCAAATGAACTGGACCAAACCAACGCTTTGTGCTTAGACTTACCAAAGCAGATCCTGTCAGGTTCAACTGACAAAACAGTTCACTGAAGATTCCAGTCAGGAAATGACAATGCGCATGAGAGGAGGGGTAAATAAATAAATAAATGCGGCACGGCTTAAATCTAATCGTGAGCATTATGACTGTTATGCAGTCCGGTCACGTTCTGGCCTGTCTGACCATGGTTTGGACACATCTTTGTAATAGTCCGGTAACATGAGAGGGCATTAGTGGGACAGATCCGATGATCGGACAGATTGGAAAATTGAAAGGAAAATTGAATGTGCAGGGAAGCTAAATGGGCCGCTCCAACCGGTACCGTCAGAACAGATCAAAATCAAGGGTGCTGCACGGTAATAACGCCGTAATCACAGGCAGGGGGGGAAAAAAGATGAAAGGACAAAAAAAACGACTCTTGTTCCGTGTGCGGTCACAGCCACTGAAACGGCTAGCGGAGCAGGGAAGTTTAGGGGCTTGTTAGTACCAACTTTTGAAAGCCTACCTGAGCAGTGGCTGAAAAATGACTGTGATGTTCCTGGCTCCTGGCTTGCACAGGTACTTAGTCTCACCTCCCTCGATCAGGTTATCGTCTGCTCCTCCTGTACAGGATGACAAAACGAGACAAATATATCCATTAAAGAGCAGTACGAAGGTATCTTGTTGGAGGCTTTTGAAACTGGCTTGTTGCGCGACACATGGCTGTGAAAAACAATGAAATAAGACCCTGCATTTTCACACTGAGCACTGCAGAAGCCATTGTTACAGCACACTGACAGGCGCACTCACTCATCTAGATCCATACCACTGTAATTCTTCAGTGTCTATTACTAAAAAACTCTCACCTAAATGCCCTCAGACAATAATGAAGAGTCCATCATCTCTTCTCCCCTGAAGTCTAGTTATAATTTGGATTCATCTTCATTGCCAAAACCTGCATGAGCTCTTAATCTGTTTCTGGACATCTGCCTTACACCATCCTGAGTGCAAATCTAACACTGTATATATTTAAAATAATTGGAAGCCCAGCAGATCTATTTCAGACTTTCACATCTGTTCAACCTCACTTGCATACTTGTACTACTTTCGAGAGCTTAAATATTTGTTTAAACCCAATGGTACCTCTACTTTCATTCATTTAAAATGGAGTCGGTCACTTGTGAATTCAGCACTGACATCTACGAGGTCCACGGGTGTGAGAAAACAGATGCACAGCAAATACAGTAGTGTGCTATGGAGACTAAACTACTTTAGGATGTTGTTCAAAAGCGGAGTTTCTTAATGTGGAACTTAACCTGAATTTTGCCCAGCTGATTCATTTATCATCATTATACTTTACATTATGTTTTATTTTATTTGTTTGTGATCTTTATTTGTCACTTTGAGTAACACTGGGCCAGAACTATGTAGGTTAATGCATTTCGGGTCGGGTCAGGTCAGGTCGGGTTTGATCAAAATTTTGTCAGACTCTGATCAGGTTCAGACTCAGAACCTGACAATGTTTTCAAACCGGTTAAGACAGAAGCTTCTCAGGCTGTATTTGGGTTTGGGTCAAAATTTTAGGCCCAGTTAACCCCTTAAAATCCCAGGCTCATTACATACTAAGGCTATTTATTCAGTAACCACAGGGACTTCAGTGCAAACTTAAGTAGGTCTATATGACAGTAGAACTGCCAATATCGTAGATTCTCATGAATAGGAAAAGTTATCAGTTACCAGTTCCAGTACTGGAATTACAGCCGATTACTACCACCGATAGCTTGGCTTCTCATTTGTGCTGATACACAATCACTTGTGCTGGTCATTTTTTTTTAGCTCACTGAAATGAAGCATAGTAATTGTATGTAATTCACTCTACATAAAAGCGTGTAGAAATTTACAATAGTTACCATGTCCTATTTTCATGTCATGGCAAGCAAAAATCAATCAATGATCCAACATCACAGTTTAATCCAGTCTACTGCTTACAGCACTTATATTCACAGATTATATAACTGAATTTTTAAGGTAAAAAAAAGTAAGATTTATCAACAACTGTTTATCGATATCTGCCACAAAATTTTCATTTTAAGCAACTGGTCCAAAATTAAGTTATTATTATATACACAGTGCATGCCTACACTTATTTAGTTCTGTCTACCACTGTCATCCCTGACTTGGATTTCTATGTAGCTGCCTTGCGTGGTGGTGACTGGAACCAGATGTCTGATAAGATTAAAGCCTCTGTAAAGCCATTTTTAAGCTCTGATTTGGTCAGCGCCGACTGAATTTCACGTTTGGGCCGAATTTCAGCTTCTTCGGCTTCATTTGCCGTGCAAACGATGTCCAATTAACTGCCCAAACGAGCTCCGATTGAGCAGCCGGACGATCGGATGGATTTCTGACATGTCAGAAATTTTGGTCGCTTGTCTCACAGTCTGAGCAGCCTCACAAACTGGCTGTGTTTCACGTGCAGTGTGAGCACCCATGTCGCGTCATGTCAGTCGGACTGAGTGTTTTCGTACAGTGTGAGTGTATAAATCGCAGGCTTTGGCCGAACACGAGGGGCGAATCAAACGTACAGAGTTGTCACCAAAGATTTCTAAAATCGCACAGTGTACGCCCGGCTTAAGCGACCTCACTCAAAGCTCCTATAATGATTATAAATGCACTCCCTGATGTCTGAGATGTTGTTTTATGTTCATTTTGAGAAGGTTTTGGCCTGAATCATCATTTTTTAAAAATCCATTAATGGCAAAGAGGTACATGTAAGAGGGTCTAAGGCAAAATAGTCTCCGAAGAAAACACATTTTTTCAGATTTACCACTATTTTACCATCATTAACATTACACAAAAACTCATAAGACTCATAACTCATAACTCAAAACCAGCTGACCCCTGGTTCCTATCACCATCACTGTAAAGAAATCTGACTTGGCAAGTTTTTCTAGAACAGAGCATTTCTCCTCTAAATGACTTTGTTTCAAAAATAATATAAATGCATTAAAAAAAATCAGCAGAATTCCTGTTTAATCTAAATATTATATACATAATTAGCTGCAAAAACAGTTACAACACCTGACAGTATTATTACTGTGTCTGTCTAATCATTACCGCTGACCAGATTTGTCCTGCACAGCTCAAGGAACAGAAACCTTTCATGTCAACAAATTTCTGTTATTAAACACAGCTAGACAGCGAGGGGTTCAGGAGACTCCCTCTCATCAGTGTGGGGTACCCCCACGCGCCCATGGGTAGACCCCGTGTTAACGGGGTTAATAAGAAAATCACGGCTGTGTAACTCACTCATCTCGACAGAGGGCCTGCGAAAAACCAAGAGAGGTTTACTCCTTATTACCTCCACTCATCCACACATAATCAATATAATTGACTGAGAGGGGATCGCGAGCGCTGTCAATAAAAAGATCCCCGATGGCAGGGAACGTGCAGGTTTGTGTACGCCCCGGTGGCTCTCTGGATATAAATAACAGCATCGTGCCATCGCCTCTCGCACGGTGACAGTGTTATTCATTAAAATTTCACAGCGCTTTGAGCCACTGAAGGGACTGCTTTAACCACGCTGCTCTGAACTGGGGCCCACTGGTCTGACTCGCCTGCAAGTGCGCACACACACACACACACACACACACACACGCTCACCTTCTCGTGCAAACACACTTGTGCGGATTTGGATGCAGAATACCTATTTTAACTTCTTCAGCGCTCACCTGCAGCACAAGACGCCTCACACTTAGAAGCTGAAAGATCAAATAACTGAATTTAGATCCTTACTGAAACATCAGCTGGTGGGGACGATGAGCTTCTGCTCTGTTTTCACAGCACATCCTGTATGTGTGAATACAGGCACATCAGTACGGTATATTTATGTCTATTTTTATTTCTATCTCTATTTCTGCCTAACGTATATAAGTTTATGTGCAATTATATGTCTTGCTACTGTAACACTGCAGTTTCCCTTTGGGATCAATAAAGTTATGTCTGTCTGTCTGTCTGTCTGCCTGCCTGTCTGTCTATCTATCTATCTATCTATATATCTGTCTGTCTGTTTATCTATCTGTGTGTGTGTGTCTGTCTGTCTACCTATCTATCTGTCTGTCCGTCTAACTATCTGTCTATCTGCCTGTCTGTCTATATATCTGTCTGTCCGTCTATCCGACTGTCGGTCTGTCTGTCTGTCTACCTATCTATCTTTCTGTCCATCTAACTATCTGCCTATCTGCCTGTCTGTTTATCTATCCGACTGCCTGTCTGTCTATATATCTGTCTGTCTGTCCGTCTATCTGTCTGTCTGACTTTCTATCTGTCTGTCTGTCCGTCTATCCGTCTGTCTGACTTTCTATCTGTCTGTCTATCTATCTATCTATATATCTATCTATCTGCCTGTCTGTTTATCTATCTGTGTGTGTGTCTGTCTGTCCGTCTAACTATCTGCCAATCTGCCTGTCTGTCTATATATCTGTCTGTCTGTCCATCTATCCGTCTGTCAGTCTGTCTGTCTGTCTAACTGTATATCTGTCTATCTGTCTGTCTTTCTGTCCACCTATCTATCTATCTGTCTGTCTATCTTTGTGTCTATCTGTCTGTCTACCTATCTGTCTGTCTGTCTAACTATCTGTCTGTCTATTTTGCAACATTCAGTTCATCAAAGTCTCTTCACTGGTACGAAGAGCAGGTTTTTCCAAAACAGCGATTTGACAATTTTCTTTTCCAAACTACTGTTAGAAGTGCTGAAAATCTGTGTGCACAAGTGAACACTTACTGTAACAGGTGCACCTTAAAGTAGCTGTATTCACTCTTTAAAGGGGATGTTCTGGATACCTTTGGACACAGTGTATTAGGGGTGGGAATCTCTAGGCACCTCACGATTCGATTACGATTCAGAGGGCTGCGATGAGATTATAAAACGATTATCAATGCATCTCGATGCATTTTTTTTCTCTATACAGGATTTCAATCTTCCTACTGTCTAAAAACTTGGTAGTTTTAAAGCAAAGTATTTGTAACGATCCATAATGTAAATGCATTATGGATCATTACAAATACTTTGCTTTAAATATCTAAAATATCTTTTATTTATAAATCAAAAAGAAGTGATGTGGCAAGTGAACTAGAAGGCTCTCATTCAGAGACGCTGCTGCCACTCATCTGCGATAAAATGCGCTGTTATCCTGAAATAAGATCCAGTGGTGATGGGTGTCCACGCAGCAGGTTACAGCCATCCTTCCCGTTTTCTTTAGTGATCTTATAACTTTGGTGTTGGTCTCGTTGTAGAGTGTGTGTGTGTGTGTGTGTGTGTGTGTGTGTGTGTGTGTGTGTGTGTTGGGGAGGTTGTATTTTCGAGACTGGACGCTGAATCTTGGCTCCAAAGTGTGCAGCATAGCGCGAAAGCCCTGGTTCTCAACGACCGAGAACAGACAGCAGACAGCAGGTCACATAGCCCCGAGGTCTGGCCTCGCCAGTAGCGAACGAAAAAACTGAGATTAAGACAAACTTTTGCAGGACTTATTCGCATTTATAAGCAGTGCGGTTGGTTAAATCTGCTGTCTTTCTCTAAAAAGTTGCGAAAATGAACTCGCTTCTCTTTCGAATTTTCCCGTTCCAC